AAAGAATAAAAATAATAATTTATGACATGTGAAAATGAAATTCAGATGTGAATGTCAAATTTCAGTGTCTGTAAATGAAGTTTTATTGGCACACAGCCACACTCATCCTTTTACATACATATTATCTATGACTGCTTTTGTGACATAGTAACAGTTGAATAGTTGCAGAGACCATCTGGCCTGCAAAGCCTAAAACATTTATCAGCTGGCCTTTTACAGAAAAAGTTTGCTGACCCGTGGCCTAGAGTAATGATTCTCAACATGGGGCTATTTTGTCCTCCAGGAGACACTTGGCATTGATAGGAGACATTTTTGGTTGTCACAATTGGGAGTGGGGTAGGGTGCTACTGACATCTAGTGGGTAGGGATGCTGTTAAACATGCTACAATGAACAGGTCCCTATAGCAAAGAATCATCTGTCCTCAAATGTCAGTAGTGCTGAGGTTTAGAAAGGGTGGATTAGAGGGACCCAAGATACTTCTAGCAAAGGGGAAACTCCATCCTTTAATAAAGGGTACCGTTTATGGACACCTGGGTCTTTAATTTACATGAGTTCATGTAGCCTTCATGATCATCCTGCAATGGAGTTGCTGATAGTCTCCTTTTGCAGGGAAGTTTTTAACACAATTTTCCCATAGCACACACGCTAGCAAGGCTGTCTGGCTGCAGAGCCTGTATTTTTCCACACCTCAATGCCTGCAGCTACTCAGTGACGTCAGAGGCTAGTGTTGTCTCACTCGGCTGCCCTCTAGTGTGCAAACTATGCAGACGCAGGCCAGTGTCGCTTCCTTCAGGCCTGGGCACCAAGAGGATATGGACCACTCTCCTGACCCCAGTATCTGGCCATCCAGGATATGGAGCCAGGGAAAGGAAACCCCACACTTGCAAGCATTTATGAAAACTGACCACGGTCCCTCTTGCCCACTTTAATGCTAGGAGTGGGGACTGAGGACGGAAGCTTTCCCTCCCTGGTGGATCCAAGACACAAAATACTGCTTGCTATCTTTTGGGTCATAAAGAACAGCCATATGCATGAATTTTGGGGATGCTCACATCACAGGATTAAATAAGAGAATCTTGTTTTGTAGGATCTGGCACTCCACTTCCTCCCTCTGTTATCCTAGATGATAAGGAGCTCAAGGGGTCAGATAAATATATGCTAATAAAGGAAAAGTAGAGGACTTCCTATCTACCCCATCCCACCCCACTGTGGGAATTTCTAGCTCAAATAGAGGAAGGAGGGGGCACAGCAGCCCACCTAGGAAGGTTGCATATGGGCTTATGGTGCCTCCCTGTGCCCTTCAAATCATCCACTTGGAAGGCAGCCACCCACTCCTAAGGCAAACCATGATGGGTCGAATCATCTAATGGTTTAATATCAGATCACACAGCCATTGAGCATTTCTTTGAATTTTATTGAAAATTGACATGGACATTAGAAAGGTATCAAGCTAAACAGTGCTGGTTTGGGGATGTTTCTCCTGGCGAATGAAAGCCCCAGAGGGGCAGTGAATGGTCACACCGTTGAGCAAAAAGAACAAAGGAAAAGAAAGGAAAAACAAACACAGATTCTGGAAAACATGCAAAGAGACTCTCTCAAGAGACACCGGACAGTGGGATGGTGATGGTTGTAGGGATATATGGGAAGGAGCACACTTACATGGTATTTTGATGCAAGTTAAACCAACAAATTCAAGGCAGATTTATCAACATCAAAGCTCTCCAGCCAGATCCCAGGTTGAGCAGAAACCTCTCAGAACCCCAACTAGCCTTGGAAGGTTGAATGAATTAATTTTGCTCTCACTAAGCTTAAACCCCCTCCCATCTTTCCTTTCTCAACCGGTCAGTTAAACCCATGCTAATAAAGGAAAAGTAGAGGACTCTTCCTCTACTTTTGAGTGTTAGTGGATCCATTTCCCCCTTGGCGGGGGTCTGCAGAAGGTCTGGGAATGCTGAAGAAGATACAAATGTCACTTGACTTTCTCTTCCATTCAGAAATGTTTACTAGTGGCTGTGGACAGTCAACCCACTGAACCGGAGAATTCGTGTTTAAAAAGAAAAACAAGAAACTCAAACGAAAACTTGTGAACAGCGCTTCCACACCCACAGCTGAGGTCTCCTGCCCCAGTCACTTACACTTGGGTGAGTCATCCTGCAGTTGTCTCTCTGAGGTTACACTTGGTCCATTCTCCAGCTCTGACGGTTCTTTTCCTGCCTTGTTAGGCTAGGACAAGACACTTTCGTTTAAAATACCATGTAAGTCAGGAGAGAGCTTCTTGCCTGGACACAGGGACACATGAACACTTGCTGAGTGTGTAGTGTGTGTGTATGTTTGCGCAAGCGCATGGAGGGGGAGGGAGTTGGTTGGTTTCGGGTTTGAGACAATGTGGAACCCTAACTCTTCTATAATGGCAGTCTTCTCCTTTAGACTTAGTGCAGCTGCTGAAGACAAGATTAAAAAAAGCTGGAGAGGGAGAGAGAAAGAGAAAGAAAACATGAAATTAGCCAAAGAAAAAGGATATTCAAAGTAAGACAAGGCGAGGGGAGGGGGCAGTGTGAGGTAGAACAGATTATACTTGCAGAAGACAGGTTAGAAATGGGGTCACTGACGGACCATCACCACCCGGAAATCTGCTGACAAGGCTTTAAGAACAACACACACCAGTTTAAAGCTTCTTGTTTTAATTAAAAAACAAGCACATATTAACAGCCACATGGGAATGCCATATGATTAAAACAGGAAACAAAAACAATAGTGATCTGCACTGCAGCTAGGAAAAGCAAACTTCTTGGCTTAAGAAATGAGGTGTGTGTGTGTATGTGTGCGTGTGTGCACACACACACATGGGGATTTTTCAGGAGAGCCATTCCATTCCAGAATGGAAAAATAAAAGCACAGACCATTTTTAATGACTGGTTTTGTATCACCAGAAGTAAACAGAGTAGTTAGGGTATTTTTAAAAAACAGCAACAGCCTGGCCGGTGTGGCTCAGTGGTTGAGCATCGACCTATGAACCAGGTGGTCACAGTTCGATTCCCGGTCAGGGCACATGCCTGGGTTGCTGGCGCGATTCAATTGTGCAGGAGGCAGCCGATCAATGATTCTCTCTCATCATTGATGTTTCTGTCTCTCTCTCCCTCTCCCTTCCTCTCTGAAATAAAAAATATATATATTTTAAAAGTAATAAAAAAAAAACAAAAAACAGCAACACTTTTACTAATTAGAAAGCTTTTTCACTGAAGGGGAAAAAACCTTTCTGTCTTACAGTGAGAAAACTACCATTAATCAATGTCACCCCAATCAATGCCATAAAATAAAAAAAAAGAAAACTATCCAATAAAATACAATTTTAATTCTTTTCAAAGTGTTAATCGACTTCCTAAAGGCTTTATGATCACTCACAGGTTAGATTTTCGTTTACTAAACTTTCTTGATTATGAGCATCATCTAGGGCACCAGTTAAACATATGCATGCCTAGGCCCCATTCCAGACTTCCAGGAAAGCTGACCAGCTAACAGGTGCTGGTGACCCCTTCTGCCAGCAGAAGCACTCCCTTCAGGAGTTGCTCTGGGGTCTTCAGCTTTGCGCGCCCCTACCTATCCATCCTTGAACATTTTTCTATGGGAAAAAAATCTCAAAGGCCCTCTAGGAGCAACTATGCAGTTTCTCTGAGCATCAAAAGACCTGATCTCAGCCCTAGCTGGTTTGGCTCAGTGGATAGAGCTATTGGCCTGCAGACTGAAGGGTCCCACGTTTGATTCCAGTCAAGGGCACATGCCTGGGTTGCAGGCTCGGTCCCAGGTGAGGGAGGGGGGCGTGCAGGAGGCAGCCAATCAATGTTTTTCTCTCATCATTGATGTTTCTATCTCTCCCTTTCTCTCTCAAATCAATAAAAATATCTTTAAAAAAAAGACCTCGTCTCCAGGAACATGAACAGATTGAAGCCCTTTGTGAAATGGATCTGGAGTCAGGAGACACTGAGTTTGGCCTGGCTCTACCAAGAAACAGCACTGGGACCTCTGGCAGGTCCATTCACTTCTATGGGTCTCAGTTCTCTTAAGAAAAAAGTGGGGCCTGACCGGCGTGGCTCAGTGGTTGAGCATCAACCTATGAACCAGGAGGTCGTGGTTCCATTGCTGGTCAGGGCACATGCCCGGGTTGCAGGCTCTATCCCAGTAGGGAGCGTGCAGGAGGCAGCTGATCAATGATTCTCTCTCATCATTGATGTTTCTATTTCTCTCTCCCTCTCCCTTCCTCTCTGAAATCAATAAAAATATATCTTTTTTAAAAAAGAAAAAAGTGGGTCATGTCTGTCTTGTGGACCAAAATTTCTCCCTTAATACGAAATTCCTGCCTAGGCTCTGAAGGTCTTTCAGGCTGTATGGCTCTAAAACTTTTGAAGTTTTCAGAGCTCTTCACGCCTCAAGTAAACAAATGCAAATGAGGAGGCTCTATTTGTGACAAAAATAATTACCCAGAGGGGATGGAAGCCAGTTGGTTGTTTTAAGTTTGGGATTTGTGCAGAAGCATCTGTGAAACTGGACTGGAAACATCAAAGCTGCAAATAAGCCTTTCTCCAGAGGGCTTGACAGCCCTAACTTAGCATCTCTCTGAGCTACTGGCTGAGTATCCAAGTTCTTTTCTTTTTTTCAAACTGCTAAGCATAGAGTCTCCTAAAATGCTCCATGAGACTTGGATTTTTCAAGAAACTAGCTTAAGCTTTGGCAGCAACCCCTTCCTTTTTTGCCTGTGGCCACTAACAAATCAGTGACTCACCAAACAATACATATCAAAGCTGTACTCTTGCTTAACCAACAAGAAAAGGTAAGGTGTGCATATGTTTGCTTTTCACTTTTTCTACTTTTCACTTCCTCTTATCTATTATTGAAGATAGAAACCCTCTTCCCATACTCAACTCTTCGAAAATGGCCTGACTATTTGACATAGCCTTGATAGACTGTTTCCAAAGAAAGTAACAAAAAAAATACCCTCAAAAAATTTTTTAAAAAAATGAAGTCATGGTCAGTGCCAGTGACACTGGGAGGCAGAACTCAAAAAAAGAGGTGGTGCTTGAAGTGGAAGTACATGGTAGGGGCAGGGGACCCAGCTTCCTGGCACCGCGAAGGAAAGCTGTCAGTTAAAATAGGAACCTTGGCTTAAAAGGCTAAATGGAGTCCAGTCCAGCTGTAGCCGGGAATACTATTCAGTACACAGCCATAGATTACTGCAAAGGAAGGGCAGAGAAAGGGCGGGTTAGCCACAGAGTATTGCCAGCTCACCTCCAGCTCTCACTCTCGCCCTGGCTAAACACCAAAGGCCACTGTGCCTGACAGTGGAGCACTCTCTACTTTAAAGGGTTTCCCAAAGCCATGACCGGAATTAGGACTGGAATATTTATAAAATATCAAATCCTTAGACTGCAGGTAAAATTAGGGACCTTCTGAGGATTAACACTTCTTTTCTCTTCTCCAGCTGAAAGATCCACGTCTTCTCATTGTGGGGGGTACATGCAAAATACAGATTAAAACTCATCACATTCACCAAACAGACAGGAAGACTCATCAAAGCAAAACTGAAAACATTGATTCTTTGACCACTCAGTTTGACAGTTTATGACAAGGGTTATTATACCTGCTACTGGCCCTGCCATTGGGGAATGGCGTGGAGCCCTAAAGGAGATTACAGAGGCGATGCCCAGAAACTTCAGAGTTCCTTAAGCCCATCATTCAAGACACTAGGCTGGCAATAATATGCAGGTTTATTTCCCTTTCTGCATCTGTAGGGTACTCGGAGTTATTATAGGGAGAGGACATTTATGCTATTTTCTTCAGCAGTCATTTTCGGGGGAGGGGGTATGGGGGACTTGGTGTAAACTTATTCTGGATTTTTAACACAGCTTGAGTACAGTCACCTTGAGTGAATCAAAACTGGAAAGGGCTGGGAGGCCAAAAGGAAAAGGCATCAAAGGATCTCCTTCTGGAGCCCTCTGAGAAGGAACTGTGGCTGTGTTGGGAGGTGGCAGGTGCTCAGGGAAGCCCAATGACTAGGGGCCAAGGGGGAAAGCCTTATTGACTGGTGCTTACCCAGTCACGGTGGATGCAAATACCTCGGGGAAGCGAGCAGCCATCAGAGTTCAAACAGGGAAACTGGCGGTGGAGAGTAGCAGATAGGACCCCTGAACAAGTTACACTCTGGCAAAGTTGGAGATGGGGAGTGGCTGGCTGGGAACACTAGGAGGGGAAGTGGGATGCACGATGCATCTCTAAACCACAGAACTGCTGGCTTCTTAACCAGAGGCCAGACACCATCCTCCGACTCTCAGGCTTCTATAAACTTTGGCAGGAAGAGAGGAGAGGGCACGGGTTGTGTGCCCCCGGTCGTGTTAGGGGTAAAGATAGGGAGGCCCAGCTCTGTTGTGCAGGAAAAGAGCATCTACAGGAAGCCCAAACTGAAAATGAAAAGAGAAGGTAGGTTAATGAATGGGTGGATTAATGTACCCCAAACAAAGGTTAGAAGAAAACTGTTTGTCATGATGACTAGTAGACAAATTAGAATATATAGCTATGTTAGATGTTTTTAAGGTTCTATATTGCATTGGCTCCTGGGAACATGCTTTCTCACCCGTACACCCCCACACACACACCTCTGAGTGGCAGCAGTAGTGGTATTAGCTAGCAAAATAATTACCAAGAGTCTCAAGAAGACATTCTTTCTCTTCTTAATTACTAGGTCCTGACTAATGCCCCACACCCAGACACCTTGTGCAGGAATACCTTCAGCAAATGTCCAGGTGGCCGCAGGCCCCTGCATAGAGCACCAGGCTCTCAGCTATTAATTGCCTTGTCCCATAGGGAAAGCAGAGGAGGTTGAGGTTTCACCTCAGGTAGCCTTTGGAGCAGTCCCAGTCTGCTAAGTGGTACCCTGGGACAAGAGCTGTTTGAGAAGTGTCTGGTTTAGACCACAGTTATCTGAAAAACTGAACTACGGAAATCCATTATTGGTTTGTGTTCACATAGCACTTTGACCTTTTTTAAATTTAAACTTCATCCTTGTGACATAAACAGGGCAAGTAATATCCATCCCCATTTGACATATGAGGAGACTGGGACACAAGGAAATCAACTGTCTTGCCCAGATCACAAAGAAAAAGATGCAGCCAGAATCAGAGCCTGAAACCCTTGGCTGTTTAATCACACCACAGTGTCCCTGAGAATGCCTTGGCTGTGGATCTAAGCCCCTGTTTTTTATCTGAAGAATACATTTATTCCATTAAATAAAGACTATTAGATATTTGGGAGGGATAGTTAAAAGCATTTGCATATGTGAGTATGTACAGTCACTTCCTCAGAGTGAATACATCCAAACACCTCAACACCACACACACACACACACACACACACACACACACACACACACACAGGAATAGCAATATACACCAAGAATTAGGAGTTCTACATTCTTAAATAGTTTTTTCAAATATTTTAAAAATTGATTTCAGGGAGGAAGGGAGAGGGAGAGATAGATAGAAACATCAATGATGAGAATCATTGATCGGCTGCCTCCTGCACGCCCCCAACTGGGGGTTGAGCCCACAACCCAAGCATGTGTCTTGAATGGTAACTGAACTATGACCTCCTGGTTCATATGTCGATGCTCAAACACTGAGCCACGCTGGCCGGGTAGGAGTTCTACATTCTTGTTCCAGTTCTGCCACTAACTCACTGTGTGATCCTTGGTCAAGTCTATTAAATTCCCTGCTCCTCCATGTACTCATTTTGTCAACGGAAGATTATTCCTTCTGTACCTTACATGACTGTTGTAAGGCGATAATGAGATATCATGTGGAAAAGCACTTTGAAAAGTATTAGAATGTTATATGAATGCTCCTTTCTTATTTTATCCTTTGCCTAATTCCTAGGGGAAGGGAAACCTAAACTACGCAGCAACAGCCTATTTTCTGCTTCACAGGAAGGCTGACATATTTTGATACACGTACACTCTTCCCTCTACTGTGTACCCCCAAGAGTCAAGGGCCAGTAACCATTCAGATATAGTATCACAACTGTGTACAGGTCACAGGAGTTATTTTCTATTACAGTTTCCGACTTTACCGTTTCCAGCTACAAGTAGTGCCTCAAGCAATTTCAAGATCAGTGAGGAACAGTAAGCCTCACTCAGTTAACGAGAGGTAGACTTGTGATCCACCCCATGAATGAGGGCTCTGGGGAGGGGACAGGCTGCCTTTGCTGCTTTCAGATCCCAGGGAGTCAAGACCTCTCTCCCCTATTTGGTTTGGAACTGCTTTTGTGGTCTTCTGGGGAGAAGCCTGCCAGAAAGAAACAACCTACTTGGGTTGAGGTTGGCTGTTCCCGCTGTTTGCTAAATTGCCTCTCACCTATAAAGTAAGGCTTTAATTATAGTTTTGCCAGAATTCATTTTAGTAATGGCCACTAACAATGGTTCACTCAGGGAAACCTGAACCAAACTGTGTTAAACCACAATTCAGTTCCATTAACTGAAAGCTAATTTACCAGAATACATATTTTCTACTCTCCACATTGACAATGGGGAACATAGAAGATACACGTGAACTGAGCTTCTACAGGTGTCAGACCCTTTGCAAGGCACTGGGACCACAGCAGAGGACAGACACTCTAGGACAGTGGTTCTCAACCTTGGCTGCACATTAGAATCACCTGGGAATCTTTTTAAAATCCTGATTTCTGGGCCTCATCCTCCAGAAATTCTGTTTCTTTGTTACTAATGTTGTGGCCCCACCCCATAACAAAGAAACAGAATTTCTGGAGGATGAGGCCCAGAAATCAGGATTTTAAAAAGATTCCCAGGTGATTCTAATGTGCAGCCAAGGTTGAGAACCACTGCTCTAGGATGTGATAGTCTTCCTTAATGGAAACCTGCTGTTTAATTCCAGTCAACTAACAGGGGCTCTAAAGACTTGCCTTTAAGCCAGACAATAAATCTTTTCATTGTTCTTTTAGGGTTGTTTCCTTTGGCCCAATTTCATGGGGCTTATGTTTCAGAAGCCTCTATGGACTTCCTCTTTGGAACTTGCTTGAAAATAGGATGTTTTGCTAGCTGCTCAAAGTCCCCAGTGCAATAGCTGTAGCACTATTTGGTGATGAACGGCAGGCTCTCCATTTAAATCATAAACTGGTTTGGCTCAGTGGATAGAGCATTGGCCTGCGGACTGAAGGGTCCCAGGTTCAATTCTGATCAAGGGCACATGCCCGGGTTGCGGGCTCAATCCCCTGTGGGGGGGGGGGGTGCAGGAGGCCGCCAATAAATGATTCTCTCTCATTGATGTTTCTATCTCTTCCTCTCCCTTCCTCTCTGAAATCAATAAAAAATATTTTTTAAAAATCATAAACTACATTGCTGAGTGGGGAGAAGCCCTCTCAATATTTTATATTCCCTCCCTGATTCAAACAAACCAAATGTAAAGGCATTTATGAGACAACTGGGGTATTTTGAACACGGACTAGGAATTTTATGTTAATGATTTGTTAATTTTGTAGGTATGTTAATAGTGACATTGTGGTTATGATGTTTCTTTTTTAAAGAGTCATTATCTCTTAAAGATACATGCTAATGTATTTGCAGATGAAATAATGTGGGTTTTGCTTTATAATAATCCAGCAGGTTTGGGATAATAGATGAAACAGGATTGGCCCTGTGTTGACAGTTGTTTGGGGGCCGGGTTGTGGGTACCTGGGGCTGCACTGTGCTATCCTCCCTCTTCTTTTGTGCCTGTTTGAAAGTTTCTATGGTAAAGTTTAAAAATAGTAATGAGCTTAATATGGTTAAATTAACCATATTCATTTTCCCTCCCTACTACCTGAATCTAGTACAGACAGAAGGTGCTTAATCATTGTTATAATCAACCTATAAATTACATGACGCCAGGGACTGCTTTATCCTTTTCTGTAGATACAGCCTGCAGCCCTCAGGAACCCATCTTATCAAAGGTAGGTGTTCGTGAAGCTGGTACTTGTAGAATTAAATGTAAGGAATTTTTCTATAGTATCTGATAGCTCTTCAGTTTCTTCACTTTCATTATGGTTTTGGGGGGTTACATAGCCAAAGGAAATTTGAGAATTTGAACCCTTTGGATAAAAAATAGACACCAGCCTGGCTGGTGTTGCTCAGTGGTTAAGCATTAACCTAGAAACCAGGAGGTCACGGTTTGATTCCCAGTCAGGGCACATACCTGGTTGTGGGTTCCATCCCCATTGTGGGGCATGCAGGAGGCAGCTGATCAACGATTCTCTCTCCCTCTCCCTTCCTCTCTGAAGTATATATAAAATAGCCACCAGAGGGAAACAGAGAAGCAAGTTTCCGTTTGTTTGGAACATTCCCAACCTGGGGTCAGTGCCACTGTGACAATTGCAGGACAGGGCTGCTGAACCCAGCAGTTTCCCTCCTTACTACAGCCTAGTTAATTTTGAAACTAATCATTAAGGCTTTTTAAGAAAAAAATGGCCAAAACTGAACCTCAAATATTAACCCACTTATGCTACCCAGCTGTTCTGGCAGCAGAAGTCTGAAAATACCCGGCTTTTAATCAGGCAGGCAAGCACTGCACATGTACACTTGAAACCACACCAGACTACTTAATATTCTAACTCACAAGAGGAAACCAGCTAGGACAATGAAGCAGCTTCTTTCATGATGGGATATGTGTTTTGGGGGGTGGGATTTGGGGAGATGTGTTCTAGGAGCCACTGCCAGTTCTATTTAGAGTTAATAAAGCTTACCAGGACCCTGGGTCTCATGCAGCATGCAGCAAACAGCAGAGTTAACTGTAAAATAGTTAAGAGCTGATGAAGATGGAGTGAGCTTGAAGGAGAAATCAAATATTATGAGTTCACACCAATAATGAAGAGTTAGAGGTCAAAGGAGATTAGGAGGAGTAGGAGGGGAGGGTGGGAAGGGGGTCGGTACTCTCTCTTAACCTCTTTAAGGACAGCCAATGGAAATTTTAAATATGTGACTCTGTTATATTCAATCACCATCTCTCCAGAAGAAATGCTTATCATCATCACTTCTACCCTCATACCCCACTACCGCCATCATCACTATGGACCAGAGGGACACAGGTGTCATGATGGGTCTTCCAGAAGTTAGCTGACTGTAAGAAATTATATAAGAAGCCCAGGCCTGTGGCCACCTACACATCTGGAAGAAAGAGGACAGTCTATTTGTTCAGGTTTCCACTCACTCAGAATAGTAAAAGGGTACCTCCACCAACCCCAAATATTCCTACAGACTGTAGAGAGGGTCTTCTGCCTAAATTTGGGGGGATGTCAAGTAATTTGAGGCAACTGGGGGGAAACCTGGTCTGGAATAAACTTCTACTAACACCGGAATAGAGAATATTTAGAGCTTAGTGTCTGTCAGTGGGGTCCAAACAAATGAATCTTCTAATTCCTACAAGCAGGCTGTGCAACTACCCCAGGGATCGAGTTAACAAATACCACAGGGCTATGAAGGCAGCAGGTTAGAGTTGGAAGACAAATTTAGACCTTTCTGATCTTAAAAATAGGAATCCATGCCTGCTGGTGCAACTGACATACCGTGACTGATCAGTTAATATGCAGTGTTTCCAAAGAGGCTTCTTTTCTGGCTAGTTGAACTTTATCCATTAAGTAATACCAAAAAGAGTTCATTAGTCAATGAATTTGACATGCAGTGTTATGGTTCACTAATAAAAATCTTTAGACTGATTGGTGAAAATGTTCAAATTATATTAAGAATAATGAATAATCAAACTGGAAAACTGAGTGTCTTCAAATATATTTTAATACTGTACAAAAATTAGTTTTATTCCTAAGTGATGAGCCAGGCACCGAGGAAAGGAAGATGTTTCCTCCTGGCAAATATCCAATAGTTGAGCCCTGGCCAATGTGGCTCAGTTGGTTGGAGCATCGTCCCGTGTACCAAAAGGGTTGCAGGTTCGATTCCCAGTCAGGGCACATACCCAAGTTGTGGGTTCATTTTCTGGCCCGGGCATGTACAAGAGGCACCTGATTGATGTTTCTCCCTCACATCTATGTTTCTCTCTCCCTCTCCCTTCCTCTCACTCTAAAAAAAAAATCAATAAAATTATATTTTGTAAAAAAAAAAAATCCAATAGTTGGACCAGGAACAAGTGGCTAAGAACAGAGGGCAACGACCATGGACATCTTTCAGATCCTCAGGCCTCTTTAATAAGGACATTGCCTAACCAGGGGTTCCCTAGTCACACTGCACAAACAACTTCAGAGCCCAAGGGACCACTGGGGTTTTTCCTGCTGTTGTATAGGTCCTGTCAGAAATGCTTTTCTCTTCTCTGGTTCTGGGATGAGGAATGGGTTGGGTCAGGATAATTGGCCCACATGGTAACCAAGAGCCCATGCTATCCTGCCTTACTAAATACCAGGGGAGAGAGAGAGAGATTGTAAAATCATTCCCCAGTTTGAGGATGGGGCACCTAGAATATACTAACGTCTAAAGGCTCCCCACCAAGTTCTTAGTTGTGCCCCAGGCCAGGAACAGCTAAGCAGTCAACAGGATGGACAGCAAAGGGGTGAGAAATCAGAACTGGGCTACAGCCTTCAGCAATAGCAGTTAAACTCTGCTGGCTGCAGCTAGTGAGAACTGAGGCAGAGAGAGGGTTGGCCTGCAGGCACGGAGCGTTCACCTCAGATATGGGGTGAGCCAGTGAGCGAGCACGCCTGGGAGCCCAATTGGTTCCAACCTCTCAGACTCTCTCTCCCACTACCCTCTATCTGCCTTCCTTTTTGTTTATCTCTTTCTTACAACTTTGCAGTGTTCATTGTTTCCACCCTTCTTCTTTCTACTCTCTCACATTCCTTTTGCTTTTCCTCTCTTTTCCTTCCCTCTCCTCCTACCTGACTTTGCAGGACTTTCCTAAGAAGGCCAAACAGAGCGGGCTGGGCTTCTGGGACCTACTCTCAATTGCCCAAATTCAGGAAATCCGAAAATTGCGTGGGAACACGGAGACCAGTTATAGGCACCAAAACTGGTCTGACAGCCCACAGCTCACCTCTCTCTGCTCCCCATCCTTCAGACCCCTCAGCCTCCAGGTCCCGCCCTGAGGAGCAGAGAGAAGCCACCACCCCAGAGCAACCTCCCACTTACTTTTTCTTCTCTTTGTCCCTTTTCAGAGTCTGTGAGCCTCCAGCCTGGGAGCCCTGGGACTGGAGCAGCTCGGCTGCCGACTTTCTCTGTTTGAAAGCGTTCACTTCATCATCCAGGGATTTCTTCTTATCCTCCAGCTTCTTCTTCTCATCCTGGTGTAGTTTCTTCAGACGGTCAAACTTCTCATGCAGCTGGCAAGAAAGCACAGGGAGTTTGGGGAGAGTCCCCTGTCAGCAGCTTCCAACTGAGCTGAGTCCAGGGCGACAGTGGACTGGCAGGGTTACAACCCTGCAGGAGCCCTGGACCTCAGGAGACATTTCTGCTAGAGACAGCTATGATGGCACCAAAGGTCTCCATGTTCTGGATAGTCCCCTTCCCCTGCCGTTTTACCTCCAAATTTCTGCTCCTGAATATGATCAGGGAACTGTGCATTCTGCTTAATCAAACATTTTATTTAAGAGTCACCACACATGGTTAGTAATAATAATCCTATCCTATATAATAAAAGCCTAATATGTTAAGTGTTCGACCATCCGATCAGTCACTATGACGTGCACTGACCACCAGGGGGCAGACGCTCCCAGTAAGTTATTAGCTTGCTGCTGGGGTCTGGACGATCGGGACTGGGCGAAATCGACACGCCTGGAGCCCTCCTGCGGTCCCTCCCCAGCCCAGTTGTGCACCGGTGGGGTCCCTCGGCCTGGCCTGCGCCCTCTCACAATCCAGAACCCCTCGGGGTATGTCGGAGAGCCGGTTTCAGCCTTATACCCTCAGGCTAGGCTGAGGGACTCCACCGGTGATCCGTGCACTGGGCCTCTAGTATCAGTTATAATAGTATAACATTTATTGAGTGCTTATTGTAGGCCAGGCACTGACTTTTTTAAGCACTTTATATGTATTAACTCATTTAATCATCACAACATTCCTATGAGGTAAGTTCTGTTATTATTTGCATTTGATGTGGTGACAGAAGTTAAGAAATTTGCCCAACCAAGGTCCATCCATTCTATAGAGGATTATAGAGTGAGGTCTCCCAACATGTTAGGGGTCCTGCCGTTTTTTATCCCCTCCAGTCAGGGAGGATCACCATGGAGCACAGAGCAAACTGAAGCAATGCCAAAGCTGTTCAAAGGAAGTACTTGGCCCTAGCCAGTTTGGCTCAGTGGATAGAGCGTTAGCCTGTGGACTGAAAGGTCCCGGTAGAGCATCAGCCCAAGGACAGAAGGCTCACAGATTCTATTCCATTCAAGGGCATGTTTCTCGGTTGCAGGCTTGATCCACGGCCGGTCTCTCTCACATGGATGTTTCTCTCTCTCTGTCTCTCCCCCTCCCTTCTACTTTCTCTAAAAATAAATGGAAAAATATACTCAGGTGAGGATTAACCAAAAAAAACAACAACAAAGGAAGCACTTGTTCTTGGACATGAAAGGAGATTTTTTTAAGTTTTATAACATGGCATGAGTGTGGAGACCTCAGCCTTGACCAAGGAGAGGCTTAACTAGCCCTGAATAGAGCCAGAGACCAGTAAGAATATTCTGGCATGCTGTTGTGGTCAGTGGATCAAGAGGTAGAAGTGGGGCCCTGCCAGTGTGGCTCAGTAGTTGAGGTCAACCAGTGAACCAGGAGGTCATGGTTCGATTCCGGGTTAGGGCACATGCCTGCATTGCAGGCTCGATCCCTGGTAGGGGGCGCGCAGGAGGCAGCTGATCAATGACTCTGTCTCATCATTGGTGTTTCTACCTCTCCCTTCCTCTCTGAAATCAATAAAACTATATATTTACAAAATAGGTAGAAGTGGTATGTGATACTACCCTGAATAGTAGAGCAGACCAAGCATAATTTCACTTTCTTTTGAGGATCCAGATGTTGGGATTCTGTAGCACTTGCAGCACACCATGAAGAAGGTATTTGGGACTGTCACTTGGTAAGGGATGGTGGGTGACAGATTCACAGGGTAAGCCAGCTTTTATTAGTCATTTGGGGTAGGGGGATAGAAGCTCTGCCAGTCAGTTGCTTTAACTTGGCTTTTGTCCTTTGGCTTTTCATTCATTTCTCTTTGAGGTTCCCTTACCCCTCCTCCTAAAAGTACTGGGTGATTTTTCTTTTGAAAAGTGAAATTGAAGTAAAATCAACAGCCTTGTCCTGGGTTTTGGTGATAACCCTAGAGCAGGGGTCCTCAAACTACGGCCCGCGGGCCACATGCAAATACAAATATTGTATTTGTTCCCGTTTTGTTTTTTTACTTCAAAATAAGATATGTGCAGTGTGCATAGGAATTTGTTCATAGTTTTTTTTAAAACTATAGTCCGGCCCTCCAACGGTCTGAGGGACAGTGAACTGGCCCCTGTTTAAAAGGTTTGAGGACCCCTGCCCTAGAGAGTCACAGCAGACTACAGGGAAAGATACTTGGGCAGTAATTAAGTGCTTCCCTTCATCATGGGCTCCGAGGCCCAGAGAGTGAAGCAGTTGTTAAAGTCACCAAAACTGTAGCTGAGGCCACTTTAATCAGGCAGCAGTGGGTGAACTGGGAGGGGGACCTGGAATACAAGGCAATAGTTGTAGGACCAACTGCACTCTATTAGGCACGGCTTCAGTAATGGAAACCCCAGGGGGACCATCAAACCTTAGTTTACAAACTCTCTAGATACGCACAGATGTTTCTTTAATGCCACCATGAAATGGAACAGAATATCCAAATGACTCAGGAAGTGCCCAGCTGTTACTGTTTTAGGTTTCAACAAGGTACCCAGGATTGCCTGGGACCATCTTTCACCATGGCCGTCAGAGAGCAGTTGGGTTGGGCAGGACAGCCAAGAATCAGTTTGCACCTGACCTCAAGGGGCTATGTGAGGTCTTTTGTTGTTGTTAATCCTCACCCAAGGATATTTTTCCCTTTGATTTTTTTAGAGAGTGGAAGGGAGGGGGAAAGACAGAGAGAAACATTGATTTGAGAGAGAGACACATCGATTTGTTGTCTCCCGCACATGCCTGACCGGGGCGGGCATTGAGCCTGCAACCAAGGTATGTGCCCTTGATGCGAATCGAAACTGAGACCCTTCAGTCCACAGGCCAATGCTCTAACCACTGACCCAAACCAGCTAGGGCAAGGTCTTGACTCTGGAGCACTGCTGCGCAATAGAACTTTCTGTGGCAATAGAAATGTTCTCTATCTGTGCTGTCAAATACGATAGCCACTAGTCACATGAGATTGAGCATTTGAAATGTGGCTAAGGTGACTGAGGAAATGAGTTTTAAACTTGTTTATTTTTAATTAATTTCAGTTTAAATAGCCACATGTGGCTAGTGGCTACCATATGGACAGTGCTGCTCTAGAGAACTAAGTAACACGGAATGAGACAACATCCTGGTCTTGGAGAATGAGGGATCAAGAAGACAAAGATCCCTCGCAGCTCCCTCTGTGCCAGCCGAAGCAAGGCTACAGATGTTGTGCCCCATTTCTTCCTGGAGGCTGCAAGGCTCTGGCTGGCTGTGCTCTCAGGGCAGAAGCTCTTGCCATGCCCAAGCTCAGCTTCCTTTCCCTTCCTGCCTAACACCGAGGCTCCCATTTACCTCTTTCTCTGCCTCTTTGAGTTCAGCTTCTTTCTCTTTGACTCTCTGGACGAACATCTGTCTCATCTCCTCTTCTTTTTTCTGGAGCTCCCCTAGGAACTCATTCCTTTTGGCCTCATACGTCTCCTGCAAACTGGGAACATAGGTTAATTCTCCTGCCTTTGGAATAGCTCCTATTGGATGGAAACTGACTCCAATGATCCTCCCTGGGTTCCCCCATCCTCCCCTCCCTGATTTTGGGAGAGGTGCAAACACAGAACCACAAAGCTGTGGGCAGCTGACTTAGCATGTGACAGCAGAATCGCAGGGCAGCTTGAGGGTAATGGGGCAGTCCTGGTGAACTGGAGAGATATTTAGAACTGGGAGTCACTTAGAACATCTGCCTCTATACTCTCATTTTACAGGTGAGGAAACAGGCCCAGAGAGGTGAAGAGACTTGCTCAAGACCACACAGCTAGTTAGAGGTACAACTGGGACTGGAAGCTGGGTCTTTTGTCTTTCACTCTGGGGCCCTCCTATTCCACTTTGCTGGCAGGTCCTGGCTCTGAAACTGACCACATTAATGAACTATTGCAATACACACTTGATGAAACCCCAATACGTGCTAGACACGGGATTGAGTGACATGAATACTAGTCACTCAACATCTAGAGCCAACAGCCACAGTACCTGCCATCAAAGAGCTTACAGTCTAGTGGGAGATGCCTGGGCTACGTCTCCCTGCCCCCAGCCTGGGCTTAGTTTAAAAAAAATAGGAGTTAGCCTGGTGAAAAAGAAGGAAGTGTGCTCTGAAGAGAGCGGCATGTGCAAAGGCACATGTGGAGAGAGACTGGCATACTCGGGGAGCCAGGCCTAGTTCCACATGGCTGGAGAATCTAGTGTGAGCTGTGGAGTGGTGGGATATGAAGTCCCTGAGTCTGGCAAGAGAGCAAGCGTTGGAGGCCATATTAGACTGGGACATTTATCTACACTGTAAGGTTTTAAGTCGGAGGACTGACTTGACCCAACTTGAAAATGAGAAAGAACACTCTGGCTGTTGCATAAAGGACAGACTTTCCAACAATCCAAGTAAGAAATGACAGGCTCTTAATGTTAAGAGTTGGTGAGGACGTGAGGGACCTGAAGGAACAATAAGGGAAGCAGAACTCCCAGGACTTGGGAGGACTCAATATTTATTTCGGTTTTTGGCTCGGGCAACCAGGTGAATGGTGGTACTGTGAGCTGCGACAGGGAACACTGGAGAAGAAGTATGGTTAAGAGGGGAGAAGTTGACTTGAATTTTAGACAGCCCGCGTTTCAAGTATGCCACCTATGGAACATCTGAGTGAAAACATCCAGTATGCAGTTAGCTCTATGGGTTTGGAGCTCAAACATAGGATTTTAGCTTGGGATTCATCTATTTCTGGGTGGTAATTAGGGCTGTGAGAGGAGAAATAACCAGCTGCAAAGAGAATAGAGATGAAAGGAGCAGAGACCCTACGAAAGAATCCTGGGGCACAACATTTAAAGGAGTAAGCTGAAGAAAATGAACCTGCTGATGAAGCTGAAAAGGAGTAGCAAGAGCGATAGGAATAAAACCAGCCAGACCAGTGTTAGAAAAGCCAAAGGCAGAGAGAACTTCGGAAGGAGGCAACGAAGGAATTTCATACAATGAGATTAAAAAAGATGGGACTTAGCCCGGCAGGTGTGGCTCAGTGGTTGAGTGTCAGACCATGCACCAACAGATCACTGGTTCAATTGCCAGTCAGGGCACATGCCCAGGTTTCGGGCTCAATCCCCAGCAGGGGGTGTGCAGGAGGCAGCCGATCCATGTTGATGTTTCTCTCTCATGTTGATGTTTCTCATGTTGATGTCTCTATCTCATCTGTGTTTCAATCTCTCTCTCCCTCTTCCTTCCTTTCTCTCTTAAAAAACACACACACAATAAAAACATATTTAAGCCCAGCCAGCATGACTCGGTGGTTGAGCATCAACCTATGAACCAGTAGGTCATGGTTTGATTTCCGGTCAGGGCACATGCCAGGCTTGCAGGTTTGATCCTCAGTAGGGGGCATTTAGGAGGCAGCCGATCAATGATTCTCATCATATCTCCCCCCCCCTCTCATCTCCCCCTCTCCCTTCCTCTCTGAAATCAACAAAAATATATTTTAAAAACCACATTTAAAAAACAAAAACAAAAAGATGAGACTTAGAAGCCACACTGTAATTGGCCATGAGTGTGTAATTGCTGATCTTGGAGGGAGGCATTTCAGTGGTGTGGTGAGATCAGAAGCCAAAAAATAAGAGCAACTCTTTCTCCTTCCTGTCAGAGCCGAACCTCTTGACAGGGCAGAGGCTGGTGAGGAAGAGCAGTTAAGCGTGAATTTCTTTAGGATGAGAATATTTACATGCAACATCGAAAGGAGCTGGCAGAGGAGTGCAGAGGGTGAAGACACAGGTAACAGGTGTTCAGGATGGAGCAAAGGAGGAGGGGACCTAGAAGAACAGGTAGAGGCACATCTCTTCCTCCACAGATGCAGATTAAAGCTGGTGGAGGGGAAGGACAGAGAAAGCTAAGGAAGCACCCACTGGGGAGACAAGCATACCTTCCTCCAACCCCAAGAGCTCCAGTGGCCCTTGTCCGCGATGGGGACTGAGTCTGCCCCTCCAGAACCAAGCAACCCTGAAGGACTGGCTACGCTATGCCCCCTGGCCAGGTTTCCACTGTGAGCAGGTACTGTGGATCTCTGACAGCCTTCTTAGCCCACAACCCTCCCCATCACTTGCTTATCAAGGTTTGACATTTCCTGAAAGAAGACCAAGCCCTGGTAAGGGCAACACATGGTCATTTAAAATGTGGGGCTTATATCAGACATTGTGCATACAGATCAGACAATTGGGACATTGGCTCCTATTAGCAGAGTAAACTGCTTTCAGAAACATTCCTCTTCTCTGGAAGCATCTTAGATTCTGATTTAAGAAGTATGTCAATGACTCTTAGCATCCTTTGGTCAAAACAAAACCTGCACTTGACAGTGAATGAAGAGCCTCAAGTTCATCAGTGCATATGCAATGACTGCTACCTGAACCCGTCTGGTTTTGATAATGGGCAGGAAGGTAAAGAACACACTGGACATCTGACAGAGCAGCAGGAGCCTGATGAAGAAAGTGGGGCATAGAACAGGCACAAACTGCTCCAGCTCAGGGCCCCCTCCGGTATAGCTGGCTGCAGCTGCTGTGTGTGCACAGTGAGACCATCGGCCTTGCTGGGCCTCTGGGCCTCTTCCATGGCCCACTGCTTACCAAGCCCACCTGGCTACAACTCCCCCAGGAAGGCAGAGAGGGACTGGCAGGTAAAACTGGCCAATGACTGAGTCCTGATGCTCTTGGTCTCAGCACATGTGTCTGACTCCCTTGTGGATGCTCTAGGGCAGTGGTTCTCAACCTTCCTAATGCCGCGACCCTTTAATACAGTTCCTCATGTTGTGGTGACCCCCAATTTCATTGTTACAAATTGAACATAATTAAAGCATAGTGATTAATCACAAAAACAATATGTAATTATATATGTGTTTTCGGATGGTCTTTGGCGACCCCTGTGAAAGGGTCATTCGGCTGAAACCGGTTTGGCTCAGTGGATAGAGCGTCGGCCTGCGGACTGAAAGGTCCCAGGTTCGATTCCGGTCAAGGGCATGTACCTGGGTTGCGGGCACATCCCCAGTGGGAGATGTGCAGGAGGCAGCTGGTCGATGTTTCTCTCTCATCGATGTTTCTATCTCTCTCCCTTCCTCTCTGTAAAAAATCAATAAAATATATTAAAAAAAAAAAAAAAGGGTCATTCGACCCCCAAAGGGGTCGCGACCCACAGGTTGAGAACCGCTGCTCTAGGGTAAAGCCTCCATGCCCCCTGGGTTGGCCCGGCTGAGTTGGGCGGAGTTGGGCGTGAGAGATACCTGAAGGGTTTGCTGTCGGGGTCAGTGTCCTTGAAGCCCATCTCCTCCAGCTTGCAGCGGCGGTACAGCTCATAGTGCCGGCTGTGGGTCTGCTCCCGGAGGTCCTCCATGTTGACCCGAAGCAGCATCTCCCGCAGCTTCACAAAGTCGCAGTGGGCCTCATTTTCAACTGCATAGTAGGGGTTGGGGAGTTGAAAGTATATTAAAAGGAAGGCCAGAAGAAGCAGAAATGGTTAAATAAGCCCAGCTAGTGTGGCTCAGTGGTTGAGTGTCAACCTATGAACCAGGAGGTCACAGTTCAATTTCCAGTCAGGGCACATGCCTGGTTGTGGGCTCAACCCCCAGTAGGTGGCGAGCAAGAGGCAGCGATCAATGATTCTATCATTGATGTTTCTATCTCTCCCTCTTTTTAAAAAAGAAACTGTAAAATGAGAAGCGAAATGTCTTACAGCGACACGGCCTTTCAATCTGTATACAGAGCTTATGAATTTGCCTCCTGATTTCCTTTTCTACTGATAAGACAAATGAAAAGTTACAAGAATGACAGTCATGGAAACTGCAATGCCATAAAAAAAAACCTACAAAGACATTCAGTAGCACCTCAACCCCAATTCACCAATTAGACCCTCACAAGAGTTTCTGCCCTGCACCATTCTTAAGACAATGACACACACATGTTCAGCCACCTGTCCGGTAAACATTTGTGGAATCTCTGTTCCCAGTATTGTATGAGGCACTGGGAATTCAGAAATGAAGGCATGGAGTCTTGCCCTTGGCAGTTTAGTGGAAGAATAGATGCAAATAGACAAATACAACACAATGTAAACATTATGAAAATAACAGTAGATAGCCAAGGTACAATGAAAGCCCAGAAGAGAGGGGCCTAAGAACTCATGGGAGAGTGAAGGCTTCACCAAAGAGGCAACCGCTAAGATGACTCTTGAAGGAAGAATAGTAATTTATCAGGCAGAGGAGGAAATAGTCTTGGCAAGGTCTCAATGAGGTCAAGCAAGGTTAAGTAGCTAATAAGTTGCAGGGTTAGGCTTCCAATACAAGTAATCTAAAGCAGCGGTCGCCAACCTTTCAGACCTCATGGACCACCAGTGGTCTGCAGACCACCGGTTGGCAACCACTGACTAAAGAATAAGCAAAGTATATAACTAGGTGTCAAAGTCCCCAAAGAATAATGAGGAAGAAGTAGGACATCAATAGCTGACAGGGACAAGGAGGGGTATGGCCCATCTGGATGGTAGAAGCTTCAAAGGAGGTGTGTTTTAGAGGGTGGATACGGCCTGACAGCAGCAATAGTGACCAAAGTGGACCCCACTTTCCAGCTTGAGTGGGTAAGCCCCTCCTCAAAAGAGTGTGGCAAAGGTCTGCATTTGGGGCAGTGGCCAAGAAGGACAGAGATGTGGACCAAATAATAGCAATGTGGACTTCTGGCTCAAACACAAGTTTGGGAGCAGTGCTCCGCCACATGTATCCAGGCATGGCTGCACTGTGTCAGAATGGGAGTGTCTAGCCTGACCATGTGGGGAAAGGGGGGCTTGAGATGATGAACAAGCACAGTCACCCCATACTCTGTCTTGCAGGGTGTTTTGGAGAAGGTAGTGAGGGCAGGGAGAGGGTCCGGGATGACAGCGTGGGGCATAGTTGCAGCCAACTGCTTTGCAGTCAGCAGAGTAATCTTTCCAAAGCCCAAATTAGCTCACATGACCCCTCTGTTTAATGCCCATTCCCTTTGGGATAAAGCCCCTCACTGTCATAGAACATAAGCAAATATGAAATATTGCATCTGTCAGGCAACTTTTCAGGACCATCACCTCCTCTGTCTCCGGACAGTGACCCCTGGTGGTCGGTCAGAAGGAGTGACTCTAAGGCCCCTACATGCTGCCCAGACAATAAACAGCTTCTTCCTCACTTGAATACAACAGTGAACCCCGACTTATAAGAAAAATGTTCAAAAAACACTTTGTTGGTTAGGTGGGGAGTGGTCTAAGTTGGAGGAAGTACTGGAACCACACCTGCTAGCTTCACCTCAGGTTCCTGTCTCTCAGACCACAAATTCATTCCCTCTGTTGGACTGTTGGTTCAGAAACCATTTGCAAATGTTCCTAGTGGACCATCTCCAGCCCTGACTGGCAGAGAAGACCAAAACCTGACAGTTCTGACGACCAGTCTTGTCTTAGCCACGGCAAATTCCACTACTGTGGCAGGGTCTCTGTTGTGCCCTAAAGTATGCTGGTCTGTGGGTGAGATATGGACAACTTCCTACTAACTTTCACTTGTTTTTCAGCGTCAGGAATGAGTCTGCAGTGAACCAGCCACCCTGTCACACATGGTGCCCATGCCATCCCAGACCTAGCTTACAGCTGCAGGCTCGGGAGGCCAGCCACCTCTTCCACCCATGGCAGAGTCCTAGGCCTAGTTTCATGTACTGAATTGACTAGTCCGAGTGTAACTTCACACGCATCAAGCAGACCACAAAAGGAACTTTCCTGATTGTATATACGTTTGTTTTTAAACTGAAAAATAATCAATCACACATACAAAACAGTGCATGAAATGTGCAATTTAAAGAATTTTTAAAAATGAATACCAATGTATCCAGGGCCTTGGTGAAACATTACCAGCACCTTAGAAGCTCCCTAATGGCCTTTCCTGAGCTCATGATCTTCCTTCCTCACCATGACATATAACCTGACTTTTGGGTTGATCATTCCTTTGTTTTTCTTTGTAGTTTTACCACTCACATATGAATTCCTAAAGATATATATCTTGTTTAGTTCTGTCTACTATTGAAATTCATGTAAATAGAATAATACATGTATTCTTCTGTGACCTATTTAGCTTCTATGACCTATTCTTCTATGATCTATTTCTGAGATGCATTCATGTAGATGTAACTATAACCCATTCATTTTCACTGCAGTATAATATCCCATTATATGAACATTTCAAAATTTACTTTTTTATTGATTTTCAGAGAGAGAGGAAGGGAAAGGGAGAGAGAGAAACATTGGTGTGAGAGCAAAACATTGATCAGCTGCCTCCTGCACGCCCCCTATTGGGCACTGAGCCCATAACCGAAGTATGTGCCCTGACCAGAATCAAACCAGCAACCTTTCGGTGTATGGGACGATGCACAACCAACTGAACCACACCGTCCAGGGCCATCTAATTTATTTTTAATGAATATCTGAGTTGTTTCTAATTATTTACTATTATGAACAACTCTGCTTTGGACATTGTTGTAAGTCTCCTGATGTGCTAGAGCAAGTACACATGCTCTCTTGCACACTCCTTCCCACCTTGCAAGAGGTACATTTATTTTTGTTTTAGGAATGCTTTCTCCATTGGAGACAAAGAGAGCCTACTCATGGCAGAGAATCCCGAAGCCAGAGTTTGCCTGCTGGCAACTACTATGGCTGTTTGAGGCCCAAGATAAAAGAGTAGAGGCCTGGAACAAGTTAGGGACTGGTCAACCAATGGCTGGGGTCAAGCAAAGAGACAGATAGAAGGAGCTTCCTTCTCCCGGTCTCCTGGAGACTCACCCTGCACTGTGCCCCAAGGATACTGCCGGGCCCTCATCATCTTGTTGCCTATCTTCAGTTCTTCTGTGCTGCCAACGACAGCAAAAGGCAGGTGGGCCTGAAACAGAAGGCAAACAAAAGCTCAGAACTCCAGGAGGAAGGCAGAGCTCCCCAATACAAATGCTGCTCATCTCCTGGGCCTCAGGCCCTCACACTGCAGCGTCCCTCACTGTCATCAACAATCAAGAGGCACTTCTAAAGCTCCTGGGGTGCCTGGGGATAAGAGGCCTAGTCCAGACTTCTGCTGTTCAGAAATTCACAATAAAAGGTAACAATGACATGGCCAAATGCATAGGGAATAGACAAAGACAGCAAGCAAATCAGCAGAATAATAAGCAGATATACAGATTAGTTAGCTTCTCAGTATTCACAGTTGCTGAGGGAAAGAGCCTTTGGAAGGTGGGTGAGTGGGATGAAGGGGGCTATGGGGGCCATGAGGCTAAAGGAGAACAGTTGTACTGGGATCACTGGCCCTCTCCATTCCCTAGAGTGTGAGTATATATACACCGAAAATAGGTGTATACTGAAACCACACTGCTGACTGAGCTGTATGCTCCTTGTTCTTGTCCTTCCCTGGAGGAAGAGCTCACACTGAACTCTTGAGCCTAGAAGTCAAGTCCATACGTATTTATCCACATGCCCATGACTGTGTTAGATTCTGTTTTAGGTGCCGTAAGGGAGACAAAAGAAGTAGAAGACATATTCCCTCGCCCTCTAGGAGCTTACAATCTTGTTGGGGAAGCTCGATTTACATACCCCAAATCATATAAGACGGAATATGACCAAGGGCTCAAATGTATGCTCTGGTGTCCGGCACATAGTAGGTGCTTCATCAATACTCCTTGAATGGCAGTGGCAAGGCCATGGGAATAGTAGAGAGAAAAGAAAGAACAAGTATAAAGAGGGGTCTGAGCTTGGTGCTTGCAGGGGGCAACGAGGAGCGAGGCCTGGCTAATGAAGGCTTTGTGGGTCAGAGAAGAGACAGCTGCCCCCAGTTGGCAGTGTGGGGCCTGGGAAAGCACCCCTTCTGCAGGGAGGTGGTCAGGTTATAAGAGCTGAGTGACCACTGGCCAAATGGAAGCACTGAATAAATACTGTTTACAGACCGGGTGATTCCAAGCGGGGTTTTCCCTAAAAGGACTCTACAAGGACAAGTAAAAAGTCCACTAGAGCTTTCTTACCCTGCCTGGAGAAACAGGCCTCGATCGCAGATATTTTGATCCATGGTTCATTCTTCCATTCTATAAATATTTACTGAGCTCCTGCTATGTACGAGGCATTAAAAAGAATACACTAATAAAAAAGTTCAGAGCCTGCCCTTGGAGAGTGCACAGTCTGGTAGGGGAGAGACATGCCAACAATGATAACACAGTAAGGTCCAGATTATAAACAGAGGTTCGAGGGCTGGAAGGACACAGAGGAGGGAGCAGCTAACTCCGTGGGAAGTTAAAGCAGGCTTCACAGTAGGCAGTAGCAATTGTGCTAATAGTATTGTAGCTGTAGAACTGATATTAGCAGCAGCAATTCACTCAACTCTATGTACTCCATATGAGCTGCTCTATCTTGCATTATCTCATTGAATCTTTACAACAATGCTTGAGGTAGGTATTTTTTATCCCGTTTTATAGAAAAGGAAACTGACGGCCTGAAGGGCTAAGTGACTTGCCAGCAATCACACAGGAGTAAGGGGCAGAACAAGAGGTGGAATCCAGGTTTCTCAGACTTCAAAGCCCACCCCTGCTGGTCTGCCACCCCCATTTCGAGGTTAGAGCAGCAGATGAGGTGAGCACTCCAAACCCTAGGATGAACTGGTTGTGCAAGGTCAGATTAGAAAAGGCGGTTCAATTCTGGGAAACCTACAGCAAATGTTTTTTTGTTTATTTAATTTGTGCACTGATCTCAGAACCAATCCGTCCTCTCCATTCTCTTCTAGCTCTGCACCCCAAGAATGTTCTTAGGAGTGGAAAAACACAGGACTTAATCACGAGCTCAGCTCCAGGACATCTGCTAATCCCCCGTGTGCTTGACCATCCAGCTGAAGTGGCTAAACCCCATCCTCTCTCAGCTGCTCTCAGAGTAGCATCTCAGGCCACCCCTTTACATTCTGCTGACCGTCCCTGAAACAGGGACATAGGGAGGAGGGAAAGAGGAGGTTATGGATACGGAAGGTGAGAAAGGGGTAAAGGTGGGAAATGTTTCATCAGTCCTACTAGGGGAATTAATGGTCAAGAGGGTCACTGGGGCCCGGCTGGCGTGGCTCAGTGGTTGAGTGTCGACCTATGAACCAGGAGGTCACTATTCAATTACTGGTTGGGGCACATGCCGAGGTTATGGGCTCGGTCCCCAGTGTGGGGTGTGCAGGAGGCAGCCAATCGATGATTCTCTCTCATCCTTGATGTTTCTGTCTCTCTCTTCCCCTCTCCCTTCCTCTCTAAAATCAATAAAAATGTTGAAAAAAAAGAGGGTCATTGGGCATGCATGTGATACATGTGGCATTAGGGGGGCACTGAAATCTCAAAAACCCTGACCAAGTGCCAGAGATCTCTGACCTCTGCCAGCTGGCTTTGCCAGGGGCAATTCATTCTCACTCAGGAACCAAAGACATGTCAGGAGCCTCAAACCCACCCCCAAACACTTTCCAGGAAAATGTTGCCCTTCCTGCAGAGACCCCAAAGCTTTGGCCACATGATACAAAAGAACCAGGGGGCAGTGATAGTGAAGGGCTGGATGGCGGAGGGCTAGACTGAGGGAGGAGGTGAGAAAGAGAAACCACATTGTATCATTTTCACACATCCTGGGTTCTCAAAGGAAGTGATGGAGGAGGAGGCTGTGTGAAGTGGGAGGTATTTCTCTGGGCTCAAGAGAAAAGCAGAAAAAAATAACAAGAAGAGAATAAAGGCATAAAAAATGTGAGTATTCCCTTGGGCCTATTATTTTTATCTCCAAAAGACATTGTTAGTTAGAATGACAGGGTCACTTGCTTCCTCTCTTCCTTAAACTGCTGTTATTTTACCCCTCCCCATTCAAAAATTCACAGCCCCCGCCCAGGCAGCTTCAGAGGGCTCGGGAAACCTCCCACGGCCCACTCCTTTGCAATTGGCATCAAAGTCTGTTTTGATAAGTATATGCAAGGATAGCATGTCCTAGTGCTCCCAGGCAGATTTCATTTGATTCTCACAACAGTGTTACAGGACAGTTATTATCAACCCCATTCATGATTTGGGAGAACTGCACGCAGAAGGGTTAAATGAGTTGCCTGGATCCCTAACTCTCCAAGCTTTAAATGCCAGCCTCCCCCCAGTCACCCAGGGCCGCTTGCACTGTGCCTCCAGGTTAAATGGCATTTGCTAGAAGTCAGCTAACCTGTGAAGGGCAGGAAATCATGGGGCCAGGCTCGGGCCCTCTTTCTGCTGCTCTTGAGAGACTAATGGCTATGACAGCCAGAATAGAGTCAAGAAGCGCAGAGAGAAGGTACTCCCTTCATACTCCCAGGGGTGACATTGGGTATGTGTGGGCCCAGGGAGGAGACTCTGATGGATGCAAAACAGTGCTACAGCTGAAACAGCGACAGACTCCTAAGGGGACTCCGTGGACCTGTCTCACCCAGAAGACCTCTGATGAGGTGCCCCCAGAGGTCAGATGCCCCAGTCTCAGAAAACTTCAACAAGAGAGAGCCTCAAGTTTCATCTTGTGAGTCTAGCTCCAGATTCACCACCTTTCCTGTCTCGTGTCTACCTTCAATTCCTCTTGGCATATTTTAAAGTGTTTGATGATCCAGTTGGCGTGAATGATTCTCTCCTGGTTCCACTACATCTGTTATACTTTGGGAGGATAGATGATCAGTCCCCTCAGCCTGGTGAAATAGAGACTGTCGGGGCCCTTTTCTCCTCATCTGACAATATCCAGTTAGGCGTGGCTTCCTCCCAGGGCTGACAGTATTTCCCAGTTGTGCTGCTAGTTATGTTCGCCCTCATTTCAGGCTCCTATGGCGACTGAGCAAGAGCATTGCCTGATTTTCAAGTCAGTCCTTGGTGATTCCCACAAAAGTGTGTGCAAACGATGGAAAGGGCACTCTCCACTTAGGCAAGAGGCTTCTCCACTTTTTCCAACCCAGTTCCCATAGTAATTGGCTGGGGTGGCTGAGGCTGTGGAGTTGGAGTCAAATCCAGAATTGAAAGGCCAGCATCCATTCCTCCTCCCACCCAAGCCCAGGTTTCAGATGATGCAGCTTCATATACCACGCTTGTCTGAAGGCCCTGGGGACTTTTGACACAGTTGTAATGGTGGCTAAGCAATCCTGTGTATATATTTTATAGCATCCCATCCCCCATCACAACACACATAACACATAGCATTCACATGCATGACCCCTCCCACAGGCATGCCCAATTCCAGGCACAGTAGCTGGAGGCCACCCTCTCTTTCCCACTCAAAAAAGCATGGTGGAATGCCAGGGAATGAATGCTGAGTGATATTGTTATAGCGATAACCCTAAACCCACTAAACCTCCAGTTATAAAAATAATAATGAGTCATGGGGATGTGTACAGCATAAGAAAAATAATCAATATTATTATAACTAGAGGCCCAATGCATGAAATTTATGCAAGAGTAGGCCTTTGCAGTCCCAGCTGCCTCAAGGCCCCACGGGCGTGCCCCCCTCCCCCGCCCACTTGTAGTTCTGGAAGGTTGTTCTGGAATGTTGTTCCACCGTTCCACCGTCCCGTCTACTTAGTATATTAGCTCTTTATTATATAGGACTAGAGGCCTGGTGCATGAAATTTGTGCACTGAGAGGGGGGGGGTTCCCTCAGCCCAGCCTGCACTCTCTCCAATTGGGGACCCCTTGGGGGATGTCTGACTACTGGTTTAGGTCAGATATCCCTCTCGCAATCTGGGACCGCTGGCTCCTAACTGCTCAGCTGCCTGCCTGCCTGATCACCCCTAACTGCCTCTGCCTGCCTGCCTGGTTGCCCCCAACTGCCCTCCTCTGCTAGCCAATTTGGTTCTGATCGGTTGGTTTCTATGCCAGTCAGTGTCAAAAGCTCCGCCTCCTAGGCAGCCATTGGAATCACACAGCACCCAGATTTGGTTCTGATTGGTTGGTTTCTATGCCAGTCAGAGTCAGAAGCTCCACCTCCTAGGCAGCCATTGGCTCCCCACAGCACCCACATTTGGTTCTGATTGGTCAGTGTCTATGCCAGTCAATGTCAGAAGCTCCGCCTCCTAGGCAACCATTGGTTCTTTGCAGCATCCACATTTGGTTCTAATTGGTTGGTTCCTATGCCAGTCAGCATCTCCAGACCTGATCAGAGATGTGGGGCTGAACAGCAGCCCCCGCAGAGGCCTGGCTGCTGGTGAAGCCCGGAAAGAAAGAGGGAGAGAAAGAAAGAAGCAAATACTGATCACCAGCTGCCACTGAGGCCTGCCGATCGCCAGGCTGCAGTGGGGCAGTCAGTGCTGGGTCTCCATGGCAACCCAGTGCTGACTGAAGGAATTCCGGGTTGATCAGCCTTCGGTCGTGATCGGTTATTACAACCCTGGGCTTTTATATATTAGGATAATTCTGTATAGTGACAGGTGGAGACTTATGGAGGTGAGCACATCATAAGGAATATAAATATTGAATCACTATGTATGTTATATACCTGGGACTAATATAAATTTCTATGTCAACTCTAATTTTTAAAAAGGAAAATGATTTAGTTTTTCAAAGTGAACTACTGGCAAACTTTGGACTAGCATAAAAAGGACCCCAACCCCTTCACAGTCCAAACAGTGTGGTTGAGAACTGTTGCTTCATAGCATGGGAAGTTTCCAACCCTAGCCGTGCCTGCCCCAGTTCAAACAGGAGGACAGGGCTGAGCTGGGAGCAGAGGCCAAAATGATTGTCAGTCCTGATCCACAATGTAGTGACATGTAGTTTTGTGTGACACCTTGAAATTTCAAAGAACTCTTAGCCCCTCTCCATTCTTAGGAAAGCAAACCACAAGTCTGAAAAGTTTCCTGGTGACTTAGGGAATCCATGTTTAAAGATGTCTATGAGGTCTTATGTTCTGAGGTGACAGGTGCTTCCAGACATCAGTGCCAGTGACACCAAGTGACACTTCTCTCTGGGCTCCCATTTTTCTGTAGGCTAGGCACCCTTTCAGGTTTTCTCATTGTGACAGAGCCTGGTTTCCATTCAAACATCCTGACTTCTTGAGAAAATAAATACTAATCTGTTTTTTGTTTTGTTTTGTTTTGTTTTTTTTAGTGCTCACGGCTGGTTATAATTTCATCTACCATAATCCACATAGCCATCCTCTTGGGCCAGATTCGTCAAAGGTGATAAGGGACTTCTAATCTCAGGTATACTGATAAGCAGGAAGTCAAGACAGACAATGACTTGCTGCCCCGCTATGCTAATTTGTTGGTCAATTCATAGGAGGTGGCAGCTGAAGATATAATGATAACTTACGGGGCAGCAGCAGCAGGAAAGTTTCTAAAAATGGTTTTTATTACAAGGCTTTCCTGAGTTTGGCTATACCCAGGCATTATGTCATTAGGAAAAACTGATGCCTCTCAGTAGAGAAAAAGAAATCTGTTCCCAAAGCAGAGGCTTTCCGCAAGCTATTAGCTGTCTCCTTGAAATCATAACATTGAAGATTTCACAGCAACAGCATCAACACATTGTAAAGAAGCATGAGGCGATGTTTGACTCTCTGCCTTCTTCATTACTCACTCCTCTAGTGGAGGGGGAAAGGAGGAGGAGAGCCAAGATGGCAAGTTGCTTTTTTTTAAAAAAATTCATTGACACTTAATAAACCAAAGCATAATCCTGAAACTTTAAAAATAATATTCCTCTAGTCACCAGAAAAATGGGGGCCATATAGCATTTTTCCTCCCAGGGAGCAGAGGGCTTGATTATCTGAGTACAGATTACCCCCGAGTCTCCAAAGCCAGCCAACATTTTTAGCCTTGTCTTCTTTCACCGCATCAATTGTCACAGCATTGTTTTGGTCAGAGACAAAGAATGTTTGCCTTTCCAGCAGTCTCTTGGGGCTGCCTGGCCTAGACCAGAGCCGGCATCAAAGAGGAGGGTGGAAGGGGAGGTCTGAATCTCCCGCTCCAGACTCTTTCTGGAGTCAGCCTTTCCATCCTTTAGTCTCTGGCTATTTATCTCGGAATCACGGAGGCTTTGAAGCAGCCACCACTAGGAAAGAGGAGCTATCTCATCCTGGATTCTCTCTCACAAATACTCAGCCCGTCCGGTGTGGCTCAGTGGTTGAGCATTGACCTATGAACCAAGAGGCCATGGTTAGATTCCCCGTCAGGGGCACATGCCCAGGTTGTGGACTCAATCCCCAGTAGGGGGCTTGCAGGAGGCAGCCGATCAATGATTCTCTCTCATCATTGATGTTTCTATCTCTCCCTCTCCCTTCCTCTCTGAAATCAATAAAATACATTTTAAAAATTAAATATTTAAAACAAACAAACACCTGAGACTCAGATAACCAAGAATTAACTACACTAAAATGGATAGTGAAGATGTCTGACAGCTATTTGGTGAAATAATAACAATAATAAAAATAAAGAGCAAATGGCTAGAACAGCCGTGGGCAAACTACGGCCCGCGGGCCGGATCCGGCCCGTTTTATGTAATGATGTTTACTTTGAATTTATATTAGTTCACACAAACACTCCATCCATGCTTTTGTTCCAGCCCTCCGGTCCAGTTTAAGAACCCATTGTGGCCCTCGAGTCAAAAAGTTTGCCCACCCCTGGGCTAGAATGTTGAACCCCTGTGCTCCCACTCACGTTCATGGTTCCGTTGATCTCTGCCACCGACTCGTCATCCGTAGGAAACTGGTAAATCTGGACCCCGTTGCTGACAAGCTCGCTGGTGATTTTGATTTTGAACTTTGTTAGCTCACTCTTAGAAATGGCATCTGATTTGGCAATGATGGGGATTATGTTCACCTACGGAAGGGAGGAGCACAGTGGGAACATGGTTGGTAATTTGCAACTGATAGCAGCATGGCTTAGGACTTCCACCAGCTGCCAGAGGGAGCAGCTCAACCCAATGGTCTAGGACTGGCCAACTCTGTAGCCAAATAATATAATCAATGAGTGCTTACGAAGTGCTGGGCACTGAAGTAAGTGCTTTACATAGATTAACACAATCCTGATCATAGCCCTCCCAGGAGGTATCATTACCGCTATTTTACCAATGAGAAACTGAGGCATGGAGAGGTTAAATAACTTGTCCAAGGCCACAGAGCAGGTAAGTAGCAGAACTGGGATCCAAATCCAAGTTTAGCCTTATTCCTAAGTCCACAGCTTAACCATGAGCTGTCTACCAGCTCAGATCCAAATTGATGAGCCGTGTGATATCTTCATATCAAGGTCACTGCTCTGGTGATTTGCAGCAGAAAGATGAAAGGCTGGAAATCTGTGGTTGACAAGGGGAGAGATAGCCATTCCTTGCTAATAATAAACGGTCCCAACCCATCCAGTGCATGCCAGCCCCAGGCAGGGTGATGGAGACCCACATGGGGGATGGTAGGAAGGGGAGGCTCAGTGAAGATGCACACTTGGCCCTCTTTCTAGCAGCAAACACTGATGAACCACCCTAGTTAAGTGAAGAAGACCCTCTCAGTTACCAATTTGATCGGACATATTCAAAAATAATGCATATAAAATGCCATCACAGTGTCAGGCACCTATAAAACATTGGGGAGAAATGCACTAGCTGCCTAAGGCTTGTGGTTAATTTCTGCATAAAGAAAGCAAGCAGAAATGCCCAATTTCAAACAGCAGAAGAAAGGCTTAATGCTCTCCCCAAAATTCAAGCCACCTGAACCCCGATCCTTGAAATTCCCCCAAGAAGGGACAAGGCTTTAACTGCCGGAAGGTAAAGAAACTTGAAATGCACATGGTTTAGTGAAACAGAGTGCCCCAAGCTCAGGTTCACATGAAAAGCAAGTCATTCCTGCCAGCAGCCTCCGATGGGGTGGCATGGATGGTGCTGGGGCCCTGAAAGGAGCTCTGGAAGCAGGGCCTGGGAGCTTTAGACTTGGAAGACAAATTCTGCCTCCTTTGCACGTTGCCTCAGGAGACTGTTATCACACAGTGGACCTTGGAAGCACTTCCCTTCAAGTCTTTTTTGGGAGGGGAGGGGGCCAAAGCCCTTGCCAAGGTAGAACAGCAGGCAGAGCCAATTCTCCTCATCGCTTTTCCTCACACCTCCATCCGCACACTATAAATATGCCAAAGGCTGCTTACTTAACCTGCCCACTCACCGGGCCACCAGCTGTGTGGCTCTCTGCTGCCCTATACAGGGCATGCAGGGCGTGGCGGCATTTCCAGAGCAGCCTCTTACTCATGGGGAGTTAGCTCATTGCTGCAAAAAATGAAAAATTGCTTCTATTTTTATTACAGCTGATTTTCAGTTTTCATAGTGGATGTGCTACTAAATAATTGCACATAAATTATGTTTTTGTTAAAACAACAATAACAACAACAACAACAACAACCTTGGAGTCAGAGAGAGCTCAGTCTGAATCCTCTGTGCCTCCATTTCCTCATGTGTAAAATGGGAATAATAATAGTACCCACCACACTGAATAATTAGAAAGGTGAAATAAAATAATGCCTATAAAATGTCATCACAGTGTCAGGCACCTACAAAACATCAGGAAGAAATGCACTAGTAATTAGGTTTTTTAAAGAATTCCATGGTCAAGTCTTTTGTACAGCAAATAATCCTCTAACATGAAGAATCATTGTCTAATTTATATCTGGAGTGGGATTTGCATTCTTCATTTTCTCTTAAAGTGGGACAAGCCCAATTTCCGCAGCCATCTGTTTCAGGTACGGAGGCAACAGAACATGGTGCCACAGATCTGAATTCCACTCTAGACTCTGCCAATAGCCAGCTAAATGACAACGGGAAGTCACTCAACCTCCCAGAGCCTCGGTTTTCTCCTCTGTAAAATGGGGGAGAACAACTGTGTTTGCCTCATAGTGTTGTTGTGAGGATTCATTGAGATGCTCCATGAAGTACTTAGCACAATGGTGGCATGTGAGAGCTTAACAAATGTTAGCTGCGATTAGAAAAATCAGTATTGATGATGAGAATAATAACTTTCAACGTCAAGTTTACACGTTTGATTTTAGTACAGGTCAGTTAACATATGGACAAAGAAAAAACATCTTTCCACTGCCAAAGCCTGAGCCCTAGACCGGGACAGCCATCTTGCTTACATGTACCTTTATGCCCAAGAGGGATCAGGGCAGAAAGGTGCCTCAGGGGAAACCTGTGCCTCATGTTGGGAAAACAGTGTGTTTGGCACAGGCTCTGGATCAACAGCACCATCTTTATGGAGGGACAGGGAATAAAGGAGAGGATGAAGAGGCCATAAAACCTCTCCTGGAACTCACTGCTACTTTGCATGAGAGACCAATAAGAGTGATCCAGCTTGCCCAGCCTCGCCCCCGCCCTCACCCTGCCTCCATACCTTACTATCCAGCTTCTTCATTGTCATTAGGTCCAGAGACTTCAGAGAATGACCCGTGGGGGCGATGAAGTATAAGCAGACGTGGATGCGAGAGTCGTGGTAGGTGTGCAGGACCCTGCGGATCTTCAGCTCCTCCTGCAGGTAGGCTTCGAATTGGGCATCGAGGAATTCCACGATGGGCTTGTAGCTAAAAGGGAGAGAAGGGAAATGGCCTGGCCACTTCAAAAATGGGGATTTCGATACAATCCCTTGTAGAAGTTTAAAATGTCCTCGGTAATTGACTCTCCCCAACGAGCTGGATTTTTCCGTCTCCCCTCAGTGCACCTCCAATCCCATCTGGCTGGTCACCTCCTTGATCCTCACATGAACCAATCTTATGCCCATCTGTGCACCTTTGCTCTGGAATGCCCATTTTTCTCTTCTCACCACAATACTGCCCTCCCAGACCCCAGGGCCCAGTTGAATGCCCATCTCCTCCATACAGCCTTCCCCGATTATGCCAAAACCCCTTCTGTTCTGTGCTGGGTACCCAATGGTGGCCAGGGCCTCTCCCTGACCCTGTTGCTGGGGAATCCCGTCAGAACGCTCTGGGTTCCACTCAGTATTGCAAGGTTCAATGGCGCTCCCCACTTGGCTCCCCTAAGGTCCAGATATGTTTTCAGTTCTCATTTCCTCCAAGGTTGTGATTTTAAAATCGAAGTAATTGGGCAAATTTTGATAAAGATACTACCCGCACCACAGCCTTCACAAGTGCACCCCCCGCAAGCTCACTGAGTCTCCTCCATATGCAGCCCCCCTTTGCGGCCCTCAGGTCTTGCCAGGACTTCTTAAACAACAGCTCCCTGTCCTGGGAAGTTTCTCCCTTCTCCCTTGGGCCATTCCTGCTGCCCCTGTGGCCTCTTTCTGCTCTACCTAGGTCAGCTTCACTTCAGCCCTGACTCTGTTCTCATCTCCCTGTCTCTGCTGTCTCTCCATCTGGGGCTAGAAGAGCTGGGGCAGTGAGTCTGCAGATACCACCGCCAGAAGGGAATCTGATCAAAGGAGGAGTGGGGCCTAGGCAGCACCTCCTACCTGCAGCAGCCTCCAACCTGAGCTTTTTTGAAAGATTCCCCCTTTAAGAGAAGGGAAAACAGCTTTATAAAAAAGAATCACTGCCCTGACCGGTTTGGCTCAGTGGATAGAGCGTCGGCCTGCGGAGTAAAAGGTCCCAGGTTCGACTCCAGTCAAGGGCATGTGCCTTGGTTTCGGGCACATCCCCAGTAGGGGGTGTGCAGGAGGCAGCTATCGATGTTTCTCTCTATCCCTCTATCTTCCTCTCTGTAAAAAATCAATAAAATATATTTTTTTTAAAAGAATCACAGCTCTAGCTGGTGTTGCTCAGTGGATAGAGCATCAGCCTGCAGACTGATGGGTCCTGGGTTTGATTCTGGTCAAAGGCACATGCCTCAGTTGTGGGTTTGATCCCCAATAGGGGGTGTGCAGGAGGCAACCAATCAGTGATTCTCATCATTGATGTTTCTCTCTCTCTCTCTCCCTCTCCCTCTCTGAAATCAATAAAGATATATTTTTTTAAAAATAATTACAGAATCCTAGATTCTAGGAGCTACATACAGAGGAGAGATGCAGGTGCAGGTTACCTCTAGAGCCCCAGAAAAAAATCTAAAAATATAGTCCTTTCTTCCTTTGATCCCTCTGAGCCAAACATTGTTCTGAAGGGTAATAGCATCAAAGAATCTTTTGCTTGCAGAGAACCTTAGAAGGTTCCTGAAGAATTAGGAGTGAGGGTGCAGGGTGCATCCCTTAGACCAGCCGTGGGCAACGCAGGCCGGGCAGGCCGGATCCGGCCCGTTTGAAATGAATAAAACGGGCCGGATCCGGCCCGTTTGGAATGAATAAAACTAAAAAAAAAAAAAAACGAACCCTTTTATGTAATGATGTTTACTTTGAATTTATATTAGTTCACACAAACACTCCATCCATGCTTTTGTTCCGGCCCTCCGGTCCAGTTTAAGAACCCATTGTGGCCCTCGAGTCAAAAAGTTTGCCCACCCCTGCCTTAGACTCATCTAATTAAATTTTGGATGATCGGCTGGTTTGAATGATCTAATCATGGTACTGCTTCATTTTTTTGGTCCATTACATAACTTTTTTTTACTTCAGTATTTTACTCTACAAAAGAGATCAAAGGAGGAAAGAAAAGTGTGCATTTTTAGCTTTCCTCCCTTGAATCTCCGGTGATGCCCTGGGCCTATCTTTCTGCTGCTGCCTCTGGCTCTTAGAGTCTCTGAAGGGGTATATGAATCAGACCAGCCAAACTAGCCAATCAACCAAGAAGATTTGGTTCAGTCTAATCCTAAATAGGGGATTCATCTTTGTCTTGTCAGTGTTCAGCATGGAATCTGGGATAATGGCTCTGCCCCCATTCCCAACAGCTCATCTTCCCATGGTAGTCATCTCTCCCACCCCACTCTGTTGTGCTCACTGGACTTCAAAACACGGTAAACAAGATCCTGTACTCTCATAGGCAACCTCTTCACAAAATGCTTCCTTCCTGTGATACCTGTCTCCTCTTCAAACAAGTTGTTTCTCTCATATCCTTCTCAACTAGAAACTGCTACTTCTTTTACACCCAAGTTCCATGGGTGTGAGGGGTAGAGGGAGCTTTCTTCTAGCTAGTCATTCCCTGACTTACTATGATTTCTTCCATCTCCTACAAAACCCAGCTCTAACATACTCTACCCCTCTTCATCACTACTGTTTATCTTTTACATTTTAGGGTAGGAGTTCTTAAACTGGCGTCTACAGACCTCTAAGGGGTCTGTGGGTAGAATTCATAGTGTCCATGAATTTGGACAGGACAAAAACACATCTTTTTCACTAAATTTTAACTAAAGTTTAGCATTCTCTTTAGGTACAAACGTTGGTAACACTCTACTGTAATTTTAGCACTACCCAAGATTTCATAACCAATAGAAATCACTGATATTTTTGTTTCCTATTACAGTTCAGAAAATATCTCAAAACAACATTTATACTCATCAAACTTTTAAGTTATGATACTTATTAGACCCACCTATAGATATTGTTATTTCAGGAATTAATAGAAGTACATGAATTGTTAAATCACAATTTAAAAATATTTCAGTATTAACTATATTTTAGTATAATTGGTGTATTTTAGGCATTTAAAAATGTTATTTTGAAAATGAGCCCATAAGTCTCACTAAAGAATCCTAAGGCACAAAGCAATCCCTGCTCTAGACAGTTCTTCTTATTCATTTCAGTTAGTGACATGCATTATAAAGACAATAAAATAGGATAATTGGATAAAAGGTGACTCAGGGTTCAGCTACTTTAAACATAGTGATTAGGCTTCTCTAAGGATGTGACCTTTGAGCTGCAAAGATGAGAATGAGGGAGCCAAGGAGAATCTGGGAGAGGAGCATTTCAGGAAGAGAAATAACAAATGTAATGGTCCTGAGGCAAGTTTGAACAATAGGAAGAAGGCAAGGGAGCTGGAGGTTAGTTAACAGAAGATGAAGAATAAACTATTCACAATAGCCAAAAGGTGAAAACAGCCCAAATGTCCATCAATTAATGGCTGAATAAACAAAATGTGGCATATCCATACAATGGACTATTAGCCATTTAAAGGAAGAAAGAAGGTTCTGATACACGTTGCCACATGAATGAACTTGAAAACACCATTATAAGTGTAAGAAGCCAGTCACAAAAGGACAAATATTGTATGATTCTACTTATCTGAGTCCTAGAGTACTCAAATTCATAGAAACAAAAAATAGAATAGTAGTTACCAGTGGCTGAAGGGGAGGGAAGTAGGGAGTGTTATTTAATGAATTTCCTTTTGGGTTGATGAGAATATTTTTGAACTAGGTAGAGGTTGGTGGTTGCACAACATTGTGAATGTATTAAATGCCGCTTAATTGTTCACTTTAAAATAGTTAATTTTATATTATGTGAATTTCACCTTAATAGAAACAAGAATAATAAGATATAAAGCAAGTAAAGCAACAGGGAACAGGTCACATAGGGTCTTGTGGGTAAGGTATAGTAAGGTTTTTGTGGGTTTTTTTTGCTGTGAATGGGGTCTTTTGTTTCATAATGTTTTCAAATTGGTTATTGTTGGTTGATCAAAAGTCTGTGGCTTGAACTAAAATACAGAGCAACCATCATTCAGAACCACCTGAAATCTAGCTGAATGAAAGTCCTACAACTAGAGAATTAAAGAAGAAAACACATTGAAACTGGTGACATAGCAGCTCTACCTAACACATAGAAACAAAGACAGGGAAGCAGCCAAAATGAAGAGAGAAAGACACATGTCACAAATAAAAGAACAGAAGAAATCTCCGGAAAAAGAATTAAATGAAATGGAAGCAAGCAAACTACTAGATACAGAGTTCAAAACAATGGTTATAGGGATGCTCGAGGAACTTAAGGGGAGCTTCAAGGGACTTAGTGAGACTTTCAAGGAAATTAGTGAGAACATCAAAGACATGAAAAGGGACTAGTCAGATATGAAGAATACACTAACTGAAATGAAGAATAATTTACAGGGAATCAATAGTAGAGTAGAGGACACTGAGAATCAAATCAGCGATTTGGAATTGAGGAAGCAAAAAACACCCAATCAGAAGAGCAAAAAGAAAAAAGAATCCAAAAATATGAAGACAGTGTAAGGAGCCTCTAAGACAACTTCAAGTGTACCAATATTCGCCTCATGCTTGAAGGAGAAGAAAAGGAGCAAAAAATTGAAAACCTATTTGAAGAAATAATGACAGAAAACTTCCCCTACTTGGTTAAAGAAATAGACATACAAGTCCAGGAAGCACAGAGTCCCAAACAGGAGGAACCCAAAGAGGACCACACCAAGACACATCGTAATTAAAATGCCAAGGGCTAAAGACAAAGAGAGAATCTTAAAAGCAGCAAGAGAAAAGCAGTTAGTTACCTACAAGGGAGTGCCCATATGACTGTCAGCTGATTTCTCAACAAAAACTTTGCAGGCCAGAAGGGAGTGGCAAGAAATACTCAAAGTGATGAAAAGCAAGGACCTACAAACAAGATTACTTTACTCAGCAAAGCTATCATTCAGAATTGAAGGTCAGATAAAGAGCTTCACAGATAAGAAAAAGCTAAAGGAGTTCATCACCACCAAACCAGTAT